CCTGATGAGCTCATTCTGTGAGTCAGGTCAATGCATCACCGCCTGTGGACAATGGCCCAGTCCATTTCCTCATAGCTATAACTCTGAAATACTACATCCTACTCCTTTATCCTCAATCAATTTCTCTCATATGGATACTCAATTCAAAATTCCACTTCTGGTTCTCAATCCCCCATGGGCTGCAGCAGTCTATCCCACATCCTTCTACTGACTTCAGTCTCTTCCAAACCACCTTTCTCTTCTGCTGTTTCCCTGTCCTGTCTTTTGAACCCTCTCTCAGTGAGTCTTCATTTTGGTATTTCTCCACTTAATTCAATTTTCAGTCACCCATCCCCCAAAGTGTTGTTCTACACAAAAGCCTCCCAGCGATAATTATTGGAGATATTGTATAAGATAGTTGGGTAACGCTGTTCATTTGTCACCTGCATTCCACTGTTGAAGAATCCAAGCAGGAAATGAATAGCATTGTGCTTTCTTTTTTGTTTGTTTTTTTCTTCAGACATGTGAAAATGTAATTTTGTGACAGTTTTGTTAGGGGTGAGAATTTTGCCTTCTTTTCCCTTCCTGCAGTGGTCACCAGTGTCAACACTGCCTAGGAAGTGAGTAAAGGCCCTTAAGTGACAACAGCCATATCACTGCTTTTTAATCAGGAATGGGTTGGGTGAAATCTCCCTCAAGTGTTAAAAAGATAGCAGTTTATTTAAAGGAAGTATTTACACTCCTCACTAATTACTTAGGTGTGTGCACACCAATACCACCACAGGACATTACATCCTTCAACTATCTTCAATACATCATTAAATTAAATTCAGGAAGAGATGTGGATTTGAATCAGAAACATGCTTCAGCAATTGGGAATATAATAGCTTCCAAATTTCTCACTTTTTTTTTAAAGAAAAGAAAACCAATAGAATCTTCCTTAGAGGCAAAGAACATTTACACAACTGGGCATCTATTCTCAGCACGACTACAAAATTACCGCCCTCATCTGACTAAAGTTTTGCAGCAAAGAAAGTATTTCAGCATTCCCAGGAAAAAAATAATTTAATTCAAAGAAATATATATTTGGACTGGCATTTTAGAAGGAAAGGTCTTCAAAGTATTCATCCTAGATTTTATAATGGAATATATTCTTGCAAAACTTCCTTCTGAGTTTATTATTCCATTCATGGAATTTTGTTTTCTCATGTTTGCTTGCTTTCAGTTTTACAGAGTAGCTTCTATGACTAAATAACCATGTTTGGAGACTGGGTAAAACTAGAGACAAGGGCTCTACTACCATGGATTTCAGTAGCATGTGGGTATAATAAATAAATTAGTATTTTTGTTAGCTAACACATTAGTCCTACTTTGCCATTAGTATTAGATAGAAAAGGGTAACTGGGTAGAATAAAAGGCAACATCAGGAATATTTGGAAAGTCAGGTAATGTTCTGAGCAAGTGAAGAGAAACAAAATGTTAGGTGCTTTCAGGATTAAACCTATTAGTCCATGTGCTGACTTAAGGAAAAGGGACATACAATACATAATCCACCAAAACTGAAGTCAATAAATACAAAACAGAATCCACCAAAACTAAAATCAATAAATACAAAACTGAATCCACCAAAACTAAAATCAATAATAGAAAGGAATCCACTGAAATGAAAATCAATAAATAAAATGAGAGGAAGAAAAATAACAACAACAAGAAAAACGAAAGACTCCTCCTTGATGAGGAATGGATGACTCCAGAATAAAGGAACAGAGCAGGTACAAACAATTAACTAGGAAATGGCAAGCATGCAGGAGGGACTGGGACACAGGGAGGGAGCAGGTAAGATGGCCAAACTGATAAGACAATTAAGCAAGGCATTACTCAGGACTTTAGACTGTGATAGAGGTTTTGATTCTTAGTTGTAGTGAAGGGAGAAAGTGAAATTTTAGAGCATTGGAGTAAAGGGCTGGACATCAGCTTGTGAGGGGATATGAGGTTATCAGCCAAAAGGCCACAGTCTAGAGGAAAGGTCATGATAGCTTCTTCCACAACAAGGCATTGCATTTGAAAAGTGGATAAACCAAACAATTGACAGTGACTATTTGGGGGAATGTGTAGAAATGAATACTTAAAGGGTAAGATTGAAGGCTACATATGAAAGAAATAGAAGATTCTATGCGAGGAATATTGTGTACAGTGTTTGAGCCTTAGTTTGTCAAGTGAATATCATGGAGCTCACCATAAATATCAAACTAAAGGGAAGTACACATCATAGATAGACAGTTAAAAGTTATAGGGCAGTGGGTCTATAATACAGAACATAACTAAATCTATGGGTAAAAATAAGATTACCCAAGACAAGGACATAGAATGCAAAGAGAAGGGCCAGGATGAAGTGTTGAAAGTCTCAAACATTTACAGATGGGGAAAATGAGTCAGATAATGAATGCCAGATGAGAAGTAGCCTGATTCAGAAACAGTAACAGAAGACAAGCTGCCCAAGCCAAGGGAGACCATGTCTAGTCATTAGTGGAAAGTAGCACATCAGCAGATGCTGAGAGGTCATTGCAGAATGCAGCACAAACAGGATGCAAGTATATTAGGTTGGGTCCTAGAGAAGAATGGATTTAATAGTTCAAGCCATGCTGCATGTGTTGTAGGGTCTGTGGGAGATAAGGAAGTAAATATATAGCAGCAAAAAATTCTTAGAAATGTGAGACTAAACTTCATGTGATGGTTTGGGCATGCCTTGATATGTCCAAATTCTTAAATCACCAGGAGTAAAAATCAATTACCATTTCAGATATTGCCTCCCCATGACTGGAGTCTCTCCCATTCACAAGAAAATTCCTGCACCAGGCTTCCATTCCAAATTTGTGACCACTCATTTCACACTCCAAGGATTTACTGTTTAGACCCTGAACATCCTGAGCACAAATGGGCACCATAGACAACCTTCAATAAGGCACCTTCTTACCGTGTCATTTTTCAGACATGTTCTGAAGGCACATTTAACTCATGAGTCTTGCAGTTCAAAAGACTGATGGCTGATAATTTCTTAAGAAAAGGCATAAGGACTCGATTTTTTTAATGTAATAGGGAGTTAAATAAAAAATGTCACTGTTCACTTGTGCTACCTCAACCATAACCGTACTGCATTGAAATTGTCCTTATCTATTCAATAACTAACTGTATCTTGTCGTGTAAAAGCTCTGACATGACAATTAACATCTCTGTTATTCTGCAAGTAAAATTAAATCACTCACTAGTAAAACAGAATAAAGACAACCAGAAAAGGCAGATCTGCCACCTATCTTCTTACCCCCACTCTATCCTTGTATGTCTTTTTCTTTGTAACTTACAAAGAGAGGGTGAAAAAAGCCTTTGCCATTTGCTCTGTGATGTAATATAGCACTCATCCATCCAATTATAACTCAAAATAGGCTCAGATTTGGAAAGTCACTCTACATGTTGAAACCAAACAGACATAGACAAATGGTCATCATTCTTTCCTTATGCACCTCAGATCTCTATCATACTGACTCATGTCCTTCTCAGGGTAACTGTGAAGATCCAGTGAAGTTATATTGACACCAACAAATGCCATTTATTCTGGACCTACTGGGCCAAGCATGGCAACATGTGAATCATGTGGGCTCTATCCATGGCCAGTAAGTTGGCATTTATGTTCCTGTCTCTCAGATTAAAAGTTAAGCAATTTGTCAATGGTCAAACAATCACTAAATAGATAAAGGCTAAATGAATTCAAAACTGACAGAGCCATGCTTTTCCATTGGGCCTTACCACTTTCCCAAATGAAAACTACTTTCAAGATCCAGACTTGAGCATGTGTGAATTAGATGATAGATAGATAGATAGATAGATAGATAGATAGATAGATAGATAGATAGATAGAGATAGCTAGAGATAGATAGGTGACAACTATAGATGGAGACACGTGATGGATAAATAGATCACAGGTGTTAGATTATAGGTATGACATTAATAATGGATGGATGAAGATAGGTAAAAGATAACAGAATCAGAGATCTGTGGGTTTCACAAGCGAGTAGAATCTATGCTTTGGGTTCATATCTCAATTTTTTCTTTATGCCTCAATATCTTCAAATAAAAATTGATATAATAACATACCAAACTAAGAGTTCTTGTAAGTATTAAAGGAGTAGAAATATTTGTATAATGAAATACAAAGTGGAAAATAAAATGTTATGTTAAGATTTTATGTTTAATCATGTGTGTGTATGCATGTGCACTTGTGAGTGCACACATTACAAGCATACAGGTGCTTGTGAAAGCCAGAAGAGGGAATTGAATTCCTGGGCAGCCAGAAGAGCAAAGGGGCACCTGAGAGAGACTTGGATAACTCAACTCCCCCCCAACATTGACCGTCACAAGAAGGACAACATTCTAGACAAAGATTATTCAAAGTTCCTGAGTGGAAAAAATCCCACATTTTTTTCCTTCAGCTTTTTTAAAAAGTTATTTTAATTTGAGTGGAAAGGAAAAGAATCCCTGGCCCTGGACTGTCCCCATCAAGCTAGCATAACTACCATTCTGAATGTCAACAGCAGAACTTGGGGGGGGGGTCAGGTGAAGCTTGGTTTCATCCCTCAATTGCACAGCATTGACTTCAAACGAAAATTATAACCAGGGAGTTGAGTGGTCCCCTGCATTCGCTAGTATCTAAGAGGCAAACAGGCATCAGATTCTTTACCTTCCCATGTCAAGACACAGCAGCAGGCTGCCTGCGCTGTGCCCAGGAGCTGAGTGATGTGTGGAAATGAAGAGAAGCATGAGTCTTATTGCTGGCCCCCACTGATATAACAACCTCAACAAAGGCTCTGCACGCCCAGAATGGTGAGAGACTCCTGCGGGACAGAATACCATTAAGGCTCAAAATGCTACACAGTAACTTTCTCTAAAGATTCCATGGGTTCCTGAGGCCAGGAACTGTGGTGGCTATTAGAAAAGCAAGGACAGACAGTGATACAGCTTTTACATACCTTTCATCTAATTTTCCGCAGGGATAGGGTTAGGGCTGACCATTGCTAAGAACACAGCATTAAAGCTCCTGAAAGCAGAATAAGAGAATAGTGACCTCACACCAGCCTGGCATCCAGAGCAGGAATCAGTAGAGCTGAATTAGGCCATGGGAGCCAGCACATGGCATCTACACTTGCTCCTTCAGGACCTGTAATATGCCCTTTTTCCCAACTGCTTCCTTGATGCCACACCACCCAGCCCTGATGACATCAGTACACCGGTAATATCAGAAATGAGGTCTATGGGACATTGAACTTCTATCTGAAGAATGAAAGGCAGACTGAAAACCCCTGTTTCTGCTTCCAGCTATCAGCACAGGGTTGAACCTTCCAGGCCTTGTCATAGCTGGAGACTTCCTCTGGCTGAGGAGGGTACTTGTGTCCCTATTGGCTGTGGCCTGTAGAAGGAGCACGTGGATGTAGGAGTGAAGGAATTCTGCCTAGTGCTGAATAAACCAGGCCGTAGGTTCCAGAACATTTGAGAGTCACTGAGCTTCCCAGGCACTTCTGAGAACTATAGAGAAGAGTATGGGTTCCTCTGTCAACCATTATCTGCTACACAACCTAAAGGACACAGACCCTGTGGTAAGGGGCATCTAGGGATAGCTTTTAAAGCTTTGAGGGGCTTTTACGGAGAAGTTTTAAAACAACGATCTCAGAGCACTAAAATGTCCTCTCCCCAGACTTGAAACCAAATTTCCCCTATCCAGATGGCTTCCAAGGCCAAGAGGGAGTGGGACCCTGCTGCTTTTTTTATGTTGGTCTTGATTGTTGTTAACGATCCCCAGCTGTAAGGCTCCCACATCTCTTTAACCTCTCTCTGGTTGGCCACACATGTCTCTGCCTGTCTTGCAGGGAAAATGGAACACAACACGGGGCCCTTTCCCCAGAGCATACGCCATACAACTCATGCAGGTCAGCTGCCAAATGGACCCTAAACTTGGCCTGATCACATTGGCAAGATCCCTAGGCTGTTCTGGGAAAAGTTGGTGTTGGCATCCTACCTCCTGGAGGTGACACGGAGCCATCCCACGAGCCTGAAAGGAAGATGGGGCACTCAGTAGCCTGTGGCTAGTGCTCTGATGCTTCCTCTTCCAGTGTGCAGGAATCACTGCCTTCAAAGGCATCACCGCTGGGGAATGTATTACATGTGATGGATTCTGATTCTAGAATCAGACTCCTTACCTCAAAATTACTTTCCAGAATGTTCAGCTAATGCTATAGGATGTTCACAACAGTTTTTCTGGTATTCTTACTCATCTTTCAAAAATCTTTGGAATGACAACCCTGTAGATTCAGGAGTCACAGAGACGAAACAAGAGCGCTGGTCAAGCCAGATTGGGGCAAAACATAAAATGAAGTCTGAAGATAGGTAGTGTTCAAAATAGAGGAGACTCTGGACAGAAACAGCAGAAAAGCAAAGGGAGACGATAGACAGGGTTATATGGCACATACCATGCAAGTCTTCCAGGATATGTAAGAGGTGCTAATTGGGATGTTAGGGGATGGAGGTAGGCAAAGCCTGGGACAGGGGACACATAGCTCAGAATGCGAGAACAAGATCTTGGATCTGACCCCAGAGAAAGCAAAGAAATAACCCAGATATCCCCATAGAAACTCCATCAAAGGACATTATATGGAGCAGGTCTTTAATGAAATCTCCTCCCAAGGCAAGCTCCTGGGCTGTTCTATCCAGGTTACTGACTGGCCCACACTTCTGACCATTTGTTGATTAGTAAAGGACAACTGAATGTTTTGCTTCTGTTGCTTTAACTGTTTTTTCCCAGTAGGCTGGTTTTGCCTAACAGTAGTACCAATCCAAGAATGCAGGGAACTATTGGCTCTTATATGCTGCAAAATAATAGACAAATACTGCAACAAACTTGAAAATCTCTGTGTGAAAATGCCTTGAAGTTGTTTCAACATTACAGAAAGTAGCAGCTTAGTTTCCCTCCCTGACACACACATATTCTCTATAGCACTTCCAGGCCCCCGCAGCACCAATCAGTTGCCTGCCCGGGGCCCTTCAGCTAGGTCCAAATGAAATGCCCCAAGTCCAGGTGAGCCTTCTCAGGGTTTTAAAAATGGACCCAATAAAGAAAATGTGATTTCCAAGCATAGAATCAAGTTTCCTTTGTTTTTTCATTTGATTCTGGGCCAGAGGGAGCAAGACCCTCTCCATTTCTTTATTATAATCCTAAAGAGGAAGAAAGGAAGAGATTTGAATCTTAACCCTGAAAACCCTGGCCAGGAGCAGTACAGTGGCATCCAGTCCATAGACCAGGCAGGCAAATGCAAGGCTAGGCAGAGGCATCTCAGCACACAGTGTGACAATGGCTCTGCCATGTTAACAGAGCCTTAACCCTTTGGAGACCCTGCCCCCTTCCCCACATTCCCACTTTCCTCTCTCCCAGGTAGTTCCAATATAAGATGGTTTTTCTGGGGACTAGATAGATTGCTTAGGAGTTAAGAGTGCCTCTGCTTTTCCAAGGACCAGAGACCAGTTCTAACCTCCCAGGACAGGCAGCTCACAATTGCCTGTAACTTCAGCTACAGGGCATCTGACCCCTTTTTCTGGCCTTCAGATACACAAGCATATACTCTGCTCTTCAATTCATTCTTTGCTAAAGTGTAAGCACAAAGAAAACCAGGAAATCTCTGGTTGTAGAGACAGGGTGTTAAAGAAAAGGTGTGCTGACAGACTTCGGGCACTACTTGTGTGAAGACTCTTGGTTTAGACAAGCTATCACTCCAAAAAGGAGAATGAGTTTTACATTTCCCTCATCCCACTACTCTTATTATTCAGCCTTTATAACACAGAAAACCCAAATAAAGCTGTACTGAGCTGGCTCTATACCTCTAGCACACCCAGCATGCATACCTAAAAGAAGAATCAGTTCAAACAGCAAACAGAATAAACTTAGGTCGAAAGCTTAGTATAAGGCAGTGTCCTCCACACACAAGTTGGTCCACCTTTACATCTCTGGGATGACAGTTTGCTTACAACCACAATATAGATGAGTGATGAGGAAGGTCCTTCTGTGTATATGTTGTCTTATTGGTTGACAAATAAAGCACTGCTGGCCAACAGAGAAGCAAGATAGGTGGGACTAAGAGTAGAGGAGGATTCTGGGAAACAGAGCCACAGTCAGTCACCATGTAGGACACCAGAGGAGTTAGAGGTCCGGACCCTTTCTCTGGTAAGAGAAGACCATGTAGAAATACTCAGATTAGCAGTTATGGGTTAATAATTAAGTCAGAGCTAGCCAACAAGAAACCATTCCAAATGGCCAACAGCTTTATAATTATTATAGTGTCTCATGTGTTATTTGGGGGCTGAGATAGCAGCAGGACCCAGGCAGCTGGCAGGAAAGAGTACACATTACAGATGAGGTCAGGGAGAACTCAGCTAGATTGAGACTCAGACCTGTTTGTTCCCAAAGCCTACTCTTTCCCTCCATCCTGTGGCAAAGAAAAAGCAGCTTGAAGTCTTAAAAAGCAAATAAAATAAAATGTTTACCTCTTTTGTAACTTGAATAAGAATGGGCCCCATGGGTCCATTTATTTAAATTCTTAGGGAGTGGCACTATTTTAAAGGATTAGGAAGTGTGGCCTTGTTGGAAGAAGTATGTGACTGTGGTGGGGCTTAAGGCTTCAAATGCCCAAGCCAGGCCCAATGTCACTCTCACTTCCTGTTGTCTGCAGATCCTGATGTAGAACTATCAGCTTCTGCCCCAGCATGATGTCTGCCTGTGTGTTACCATGTTTCCCACCATAACAACAAGGGAGTAAACCTCTGAGGTGTAAGCAAACTGCAATTAAAGGATTTCTTTTATAAGAGTTGCCGTGGCCATGGTGTCTCTTCACAGCAATTGAAAACTAAGACAACCTCCTTTGGGAGGACATGTAGTACACATGTACAGTCCCAGTCACTGTGTGCAGAGTCACAGAAACAAAGGCAGCAAACACGGAAGAAGGATTGAAAATGAAAAGTTCACATTTCCAGACCTCATGAAACAAGACCATTTGTATGCACGAGCCAGAGTATATGAAACGCAGTGCCGCTGCATTGCTTCAAGACACACATCAGCCCTGCCAAGTGGACAGTTAGGAAAATTCTGTCCAGAGAATTGCTGCGATTTTCCTCAAATGCCAAAAGTCAGTCTGTTAAAAAATCACACCCTGGGGATAGATCTGCAATCCATCTCTGACTCCATGTCATGTTTCCTCAGTTTACTTCCATTGAAAAGGAATATTTTTTCCCAGTGCTCCTAAGGCAAGGATCAGCCTAGCTAATGAAAAGCAAGCTGTCTCTTCTTGCTGCTGTACACAATGGTCAAATAACAAAATGCAGGTTCTGTTCCTGGCATGTTTGTTGTTGGTGATGATGTAGAAACTGGTGTTCGACAGCTTTATTTTCTCTAAGCTGGGAAGGTCCTGCTGGGAGAATTGGGAATGAAAAAACTTTTGATTTTGACTAGAAGTAAAACAGTTGGATAAACATGACATGACATGGATGTCAGAGTGCATAATGTCAGAAAGCATAAAAATGGGACCAGGGAACTCACAGACACGGGCAGAATACATATAGCTGAGATTCAGGAGTGCGGTGGAGCCCTCTGCATGCTTATGGTATTGCAAGCTCTCAGAATGGAGTTCTGAAAACAAGCAAAAAAAGAAAAAGATATTAAAAATTAACAATTATCTTTTTACCACGATATTATTAAAAATAAGGTAAAGCCCCAAAGTCACTAAGTAATTTTAGAACAGGGATTGTGTGCCAGGGACAGGCAACACATGGGGTCATTATGGAAAATCTAAAATTGAAATAGGAAAGGAGCTGGAGCATGTTTCTGGGAGAGTGACAGCTGAGTTGAAACATTAAGCAAAGTACAGAGGGCACTAAGGATAGGGGTTGGTGTTGAAGGGATCGGGCTTTCTTTCCAGCTCCATGGAGTACACCAGTCGAATTACTCAAAGCAGAGTTAGCTGCTGTTCCATAAGATGCAAATGTGGCTTCTTCACCCTCTCTTCTTGAACCCTGCCACACTTGGATGATTCATCTCAAACAAGCAAAAGAGTAGCAGACTATGTTCTTGCTACTGGAGAGGATAGAGTCCATCTTCTTCACTAATGACAAAGGATTTTCTGAGTAAGACAGCATACTGAATAATCTTCCAGCTATCCCAGAGTCCAGGCAAAATAGCCTTCTCTTTCTACCCCTTAGAGCAGTGGTAACCTTTCATAGATTGCAAACAAGTTTGATACCCTGATGAAAGAATGGGAAATTATCTCAGGAAAATTATGCAAAGTGCCAGATATAATTTCAGGAGGTTCAAGGACACCTTGAAATTAAGAGCCTTCAGGAATCCTAGACCTGGTAGCAGTAAAAATGGATCACAGATCCAATCTGCTAACAGGCTTCCTGGGCAACACCATTACAGTTTCTGAGTTTAGTTCCTTTTTCCACAGAACCATTACTTAGAAGGGATTCCATGACTTTTGTGGTTGTTTTGTAACCTCTAGTAAACAGAGAGAATGAGAAAGGCTCCTGTGGTCCTCCATTTCTGAAGTTCTTGCATTTCTGTTGTCTGTAGTCTTCATGCTCCAAGGGAAAGTAGACACACAATGAGCTTTTTCAAATATTCTTAAGCCGTGGGAAATGATCCCATTCCCTTTGCTCCTCCCTCTCTGCTCTCTGCCTGCCTTTGCTGTACCCTGTAGACTGATGCTGGCGTCTTTCCCCATGCATCTTCATCAGTGCCCACAGCACTCTAGCTTCTTGTCCACCCTTGAGACAGGAGGAGAATGGTCTGTGAGGATGGAGAATGAACAAGAGGGAAGAACCACAATCCCTCTGGGGTGAGGGGGAGTGACTTCTCTTAAGACCTTGTGAAATGGCAGCCAGTGGAGCAGTGTGAAACACATTACATAAGTGTCCCCTTGTCTCCAAGCCTGCCTTTAATGCTGGAGGGAATATCAGCTTAATATGTGGTTGCGATGAACTGGTTCAAGGCAGGAAATCTCAGCTCCTATAGTAGAAGATCAACACTAAAAGGGGTAAAATTAATTACCCTGTTGCAGGATTTTCTTGTAGTGACAATGCAGTGCTCATGATGTTTGATCAAGGACAGATTCACCC